TTATCTACATATCATTAAAAAAATAAGTAATTATATTATTCAACTATTCTTACAAATTGCATGTTAGGTTTTATTTAAACGTGTCGAAATTTCACTCTTATTTAACTTGGTTCTCTATATGGTTTCTTTTTAATTATTAATGGTTCTTCGATAGCCTATACGATCTATAGTTCTGCGTAATCTTATTCCTTAGCGTGACGTATTAGGATTTATAGTTAACTTGAATTGGCGTATGATCCAACCGGTGTTAGCCTATGCAAATAACTATACGGAAGGCGTTTCGTTCATTTTTGTGCTTAATTGCAAGAGTTATTGTTTTGTTGTGATCTTAAAGTCCCAAAGAACACACGGAAAAGAAAGAAAGAATTAAATGTTCATATGGGACGAACACATAAACCACGTTAAGGGATGTGAATTTAAGAAGTTATGTTAAAAATTGTAGGACTTGCAGAGTTATAAAATTTTAGGAGTGCGAAATTAGATAATCAATAAAAAATACAAATAAAAATACCGCACTCAACCTCCTTGGTCTATCCCTGCACACCATCTACCTTTGTTTCAGCTGATTAAATTAAGGTCTTCTGCTTTTTATCTCATATCTAAAATAATTTGTTTATTTTTCAGTGAATTAGGATGTGAAAAATCGAAAATAATTATTAAGAAGAAAATCAATTTTCGTCTACCGATTTCACTTAACTTCTTGTAAAATACAATTCTGTTTAAAGCATTTAACATCTAAATACTAATTATTCTACTTTTCTGTTATTCTATAATTTTGCAAACTTTGCTCCTTTCTTTTGTAGCCTTTTCAATAACCTCATCATTCTTATATGTCTTTCCTACCATAAATATATTGAAATTGTCACACCCTTTCCCAACTTTTCTCCCCCTTAAAATTTCATTTTATTTACTCTACAAAACTTACATCGTAAGAAATCTTTCAAAGAAAAATGTCAAAATTTTTAAAAGGACCTTGTACAATTTATTTTATAAATTTAATCATTTTACTTTTTAAATGTATATCTTTATCCTAAGATCAATTTTTATTATTAATTTTTGTCAAATAATTTGACATGATTTAATTCATTAAAGCATATGACATTATGTGTACGCATTAATATTTTTTTGGTATATATTTATCAAACTGTACAAAAAATATACTATATGTTTTGTTACCTCGTGTTTTAAAAACATAAGCTACGTTAAATTATTTGAGAGAATACACATTTAAAAATAGTATGAAACAATCAACTTTAGTAATTAAGGGATTTGTTGTTACCCGTGAGGTGTCGAGTTTGAGTATCGCGTATGTCAAGGATATGAACACTCATTGTCAAAGGGTTAAGAGTATTTGAACATATATTATCTTGTATTCACCCCTAACTAGGGATGAAACCCGACGCAAACCCAACCAGAAAATTTTACATCCTCTACTCGACCCAACTTTTTGAGCTAAAATCCGAACCCGACCCGACTTGAAATAATATATTTATTAAAAATATTATTTTTATTGAATAAAAATAGGGATTTAATTGAAAAAATAATATATAGGGGGATATTAATGTAATTATCCCTAAATATATAAGGTAAAATTATTTTTTCTCGAGTTAGGTCGTGTATTTTTCACCCTACAACCGAATCTGACCCAACCTGAACACAATCTCTAAAAAAACCCGAACCGATTGGGTCGAGTTGGATTGGAACCCACCGGTTCGGGTCCTATGCCCATCCCTACCCCTAACTTATTAAAATAAATAAATAAAAATATTATAACTATTTTTTATAGAATCAACTAATTTTATTCAAAATAAGAAATATCTCAAATTATAATAAATATTTACAATCACAATCGTAAATTAAACACATAACTAGAAAAATTTCCTATAATAATTGAAACAAAACTAGCAGCTTAAGATCACATAAGGATCATACAATGAAAGATTAAATTTAACCAAGAAACTCGAAAAAAAATATATATACAAATAAATCTGATCGCATCGGCAAACGAACCACTAAAGGGAAACAAGCTATTGAAAGACCACAGACAAACTACAAATCAGATTCGAGCAATGTGAAAAGCTATCCACGAACGCATATCTGGTATCCAAATCCAATCTGAGGGTTCAAAGCAGAGAAAATCAATAAGATATCAGATAAGGGTCATCTTATTAGTCGTGGCGATGTCATATCAACCCTTGAAAAAAATGAAAAAAATGCTAAAGAACCGAATAACATGCCAAAAAGTATAAGAAAACATGCCATAAAGCATATGAAAACATACTGGCAGTCGACAACCAATCAGACTTATTGAAAATAAAAAACAAAAGAAAATAAAGATACGATATAGAAAGAAAAAGACATTAAAGAATACTGGCAGTCGACAACCAATAATAAAGTTTGTATTGTCACTGATTAATAAAGACTAAAAAAAAAGATATGAGCGGCACACCAATAAAAGAAAATTAAGTTTTTTTTAATCCAAGTACTTTTAACTATAAAAAATATTATAACTAATTAAATTGTAGAGAGACTATATTTGTCCATAACACATAATACGAGGACCTTTAATACAATTGAACGTAAAGGAAATAACTTTAAAAATTAAAAAAAGAGGATATACACCTTGGTTCTTTCTTGTAAGATATCATGGTCCTCTCCTTTTGCCTTTTCCCATTAGACGATGAAAAAATAAATAAAAAGGTGTTAAGAAATGTATGATAAAAGAGAGAGATAAATGAGAGAGAAAGAAACCCAAAATAGAACTCAAATCAACTAATAGTATGCAAATATATAATTTCTTTTCCTTATGAAGGAACCACGTGATTGCTTCATATTTCTACCACTCCCAACTACCAGTGCATCACAACTTCATATGTGTCTAAGTTGAATTGCAGATGAACTTCATCATAACCCATACGCACATAAGCACTTGAAAAAATGTTAATGATTATGGCAAATATATACTCAATGTTGTGGGAAAACATTTCATTTTTTAAATGTAGTAAATTATTACCCAAAAAAATTCTAAAAAATGATCATTGAAATTATGGTGAAGTCAAGGCCTCGTATTAATGTTTACATACAAGATTATCTCATAAAATTGTTTAGTAATATAAAACATAATTTTAATTAATTTTCAATCTAATTTATTTCTTTTCTAAAGAAGATTGCTTTGCTAAAAGCGTCATGACAACCTTAGCTAAACCCAGTTTTGTCTGATTTAAAGGGTCCATATTCTTAAAGATTAACTAATAAAATAATAGCATGGTGCTTATGAAATTCCCCTTTATTCCCGTCCATAATAACTGCTTTTCTGAGTAACAAAGACAACAAAAGCTTTTGATTTTTCCCCAGTTTAAATATCAGTGAATTGATTTTCGAATAAAAATCTTAAATAAAATACAGATCATATTATATTTATTAAATGTCTTGCATATATCATGCTATATGGTGCGCGGCACAAATTCATTCATATGCAGTTATAATTATAAAACTAGACTTTCCACAACTTTCCAAGAACTAGTAAAACCGAAAGTGGATTATCTTGCCCAATAAGATTCTAGCTTGATGCTAAAAATTGTTGTTAGGGAGAGGTCACTTTCCTCGCTACCCAAAATTCCATTTTAAACAATATTTTTTGGTTAAAATTAAAAAAATATATATCATATTTTTCGCATTTATACTTCACCACTTAATATTATCTCATTCAACAATGTAATATTATACTTTAACACTTATATCTCTCTTCCAAAAAAACATGTAAAATCAAAAACTGAAAAACATATAACTTTACTACTCAAGCATTTGAATCCTTGTCTGTTACTGAATAATAGCAGGATTTAATTATTGTACCTAGAGTCTAAAGATTACAAATTACTATTTAAAAAATAATAACATTTCACGAGAAAGGGTTATTTTGAAAATTTGAAGAAGTTTGGAGTCAAATACATTAAATGCATTTCACTTATTTCAACTCTTAAAATTGTATATATAAAGACACATAGAACCAGAATAAAAAATAATTCATAATAATTAACTAATATTATTGATGACGATAAGAATACTAATAATAAAAAAAGAGTAAGGGAGTAGCAGACAACTTACATAGCTCACAAACTTCACAAAAATACTCATAATCAAATGACTGTAGGAGTTTGACTTTTACTGATCGAGCGAAGCTACTCCTATAATAACTCAGCTCAGCGTAGCTTAGCTGATTTTTTATATAGATATTGCCAAGGAATCCTTTTATATTTATTTTATTAAATTTAAAATATTACTCAATTGAACCATTCAATTTTTTATTTCATCAATAAAAACGTGATAGAGTATTATTGCATCTGTGACTGTAACTACTTTTAATTTTTTATTAGACTTGAATCGAAAGGAAAAATAAAAATATATTGATTGGACACGTAATTTTATATTAATGTACGTATCAACTATCTATAACCTTCGTTAAAAGATATCCCTTAAATGAGCGGATTTGATTTGTAGAAGCTTGTAATATGTCAGCTTACTAAAAATTATTTTAAAAATACAAAAATGATGTTATATTAAAGTCTTATTTTAAATGTACAAGTTGTCCCATTTTAGCGACATCTTCATTGAGATTAACCAAGAATTAAATGGATCTCATTTAGATTTCTAATTACCTTTAATGATTTGATAAAACCTGAAGTTAAATCGTCCATTTTACCAAGATTCAATATCTACTACAGTGAAACAAAAATAACTGTAGCCAATTGGTTTAAGCCAGCCAACCAGCCAGCTGGAGCCAGTAGCATTATATAAACTGAAAATACCGTTGGGGAGCTCAATTCAAGCATTCAACATCTTAAAGTTAGTTGGGTTTTTTCACATTTGCATTTCTAACAGTCAACTCCTACCGGCCTTTTTATCCTCTTCTTCTCCTTCAAAACTCTAACTATGGCAGAAATTCTCAATAATTATTTTTATCCTTCAGAACAAATAAAAATATATATATGAAAAAGTGATGCTCGAGTTCATTTTTGTTTTATATCCTTAAAATCCATGAGACCCCACATTTAATTCCTCCATCTCCCCTTTCTCTCTGCACCTTAAATCAACCATTTCATCAGCTAAACCAAAATCTCACATTGCCATGGGCGTCGTCGACATGACTAACCCACCCACCAAAGATTTCTTTGCTTCTCCCGCTCTCTCCCTTAGCCTTGTAAGTAATTTTAACCCCATTTTTTTTCCATATCATGCAGATATCTCATATAATGATGTTTCTGCTTTATGTCTGTGTTTTATAAAGGCCGGGATATTCCGGGATGCCGGTGCGACGGCGGAAGCAGCTGCTAGTATGGAGGTGGAGGAAGGAGATGAAGGAAGTGGCGGCGGCGGAGAAGGAGGAGTATCAGGTAATAAAAAGGATGACACAGTGGAAATCAGTAGTGAGAACTCGGGTCCTGCAAGATCAAGATCCGAAGATGACTTTCACAACGATGACGACGACGACGATGCTGATAAAACCCAAAAGAAGAAGAGAAAGAAGTATCACCGTCACACGGTGGACCAAATCAGAGAAATGGAAGCGTAAATCTCCCATTTCATTTCTCTATTTCCCTTTTTTATGCAATTTACGTCTCAAAAACTTGAATGCAATGATATTTCGTAAATTTGAAATATTAGTTGCAATCAATATTAAGTTACTTCGGGTAATTTCAATTCGAAGTTCGTCAAACTGTTTTAATTACAGTAAAATTTATATATATGCCAAACTCTCATGTAAGTACATACACTACCATGCATGGAGCAGTTATTTGAGAAATATTTTTAATACTGAAAAAAGTTAGTGATATGCTTACAGAAGAAAACAAGATTATAAAGTTAAAGATGACCCGAAATTTTATGGTGACTTTAGTTACCTTTTCTACCTTTGTTTTTACTCGAAAGACATGCACCAAAAGCCGTATTCTTTGTTTTCTAGTTTTTCTTTTTCTTTTTCTTTTTCATGGCTGAAATAATGTTTCTCCTGTTCTCTAATTGCTTGACATTAATTGCTATCCACGTATGATCAAAGTTTATGATGGGATTTGTTGTTTTTATGTCTTTAACAAATTAAAAAGATATGTTGTTGATTTGTATGAAGATGAAATACGTATAACAAACCTTTTCAGGCTGTTTAAGGAATCACCCCATCCAGATGAGCAGCAAAGGCAGCAATTGAGTAAACAATTAGGCCTTGCTCCAAGGCAAGTCAAGTTCTGGTTTCAAAATCGTCGAACACAAATTAAAGTAATCCCAGTTATTCTCTTTTCAAGTTTTCATTTCTTAACTTCGGTTAAAATCAGAGTATTTGAATTTTGTGAATCATCTTTGCTGGTGGTAATGGAGTAGCCGATTTGCAGGCTATACAAGAGCGCCATGAAAATTCATTGTTGAAGCAAGAGATGGAGAAGCTCAGGGAGGAAAACAAAGCCATGAGGGAGATTATAAACAAAGCTTGTTGCATCAACTGTGGCATGGCTACCACTACCAAAGACGGTTCCATTATAGCTGAAGAACAACAACTACGTATCGAGAATGCTAAACTCAAAGCCGAGGTCTAGAGACCTATCGATAAAAAAATCTCTCTTTGCTTTCTCCCTTGAAAAATCTTTATTTAATGTTTACATACATTCGATTTCAAAACATTTGCAGGTAGAAAAACTAAGAAGAGTAATAGGAAAATACCCTTTAGGTGCATCAGCGACCGGTTCATGTTCAGCTGAAAATGACCAAGAAAACAGGAGCTCATTGGATTTTTACACTGGGATTTTCGGGCTCGAGAAGTCGAGAATCATGGAGATTGTAAACCAAGCCATGGAAGAGTTGCAGAAGATGGCTACCGCGGGTGAACCGCTGTGGGTTCGAAGCGTCGAGACGGGACGAGAGATACTTAACTACGATGAGTATGTCAAAGTGTTCTCCGTTGAAAATTCAAGCAATGAGAGGCTAAAAAGATCAATTGAGGCCTCTAGAGAGACTGGGGTTGTTTTTGTTGATCTCCCAAGGCTGGTTCAAAGCTTCATGGATGCCGTAAGGAATAAATATTCATGTGTAGAATCCATTTCCATAGTTGACAGTAATTTTATTTTTGTTTTTATTTCTGTTTGTGTCAATAGAATCAATGGAAGGAAATGTTCTCATGCATAATCTCTAAGGCGGCTACTGTTGATATGATTTGCCATGGCGAAGCTCCAAATAAAAATGGTGCTGTACAGTTGGTAAGTTGCCTTTGTCTGTCCGCAGTTCATGTGTTAAGTGTCCCTTTTGTGTGCTATTATTTTATATTTTTTAGGGCAATCGTACGAAGTGCTTTTCAAGGTAACGTGGAGTGGACTAGCTGTTATTTAACACTGAAACGAAAATATAATGTCTATTGAAAAATTTCTGTGTATATTTTAATATTGTTGTTCAATAAAAATGCGTTTTGGTAAATGATCAATCAAAATATTAATGCATAACGTTCATCCCTTTCTTATATAATAATATTTTATTTATTATATTAAATAAACTGCAATGAGATTATTAAGCGTTCATCGTTAAATGATTTAGAGTGTTTAGAATAAATATTATTTTATAATCACCTTAATTTAATAAAAAAATAAAATAAGCCTTTTTCTTTTCTTTTTTATGTCTCTACCCGAATAAACTCAGCGGAAGGTCAAAGCCATTGTACACCGGCTCTTCTCGTAATTAGCTATTTGTCTCGGTAATTAGATAGTCCAAAAAAATAATGATAATTTAGTCATTTTCTTAATTTTGAATTCTAAATTTAATTCAATTTATTAATAGAATTATTATGCTTAAAGATTATAATTAATAAAATTCAAATTAGACTGGAACCTTCTTTGTAAACAAAAAACATAATTTCTTAATTAAGTTTTAGACCTTGTATTAATGGTTTGGTACTCTGAATTAAGCAGATGTTTGCTGAGCTGCAAATGCTAACGCCCTTAGTACCTACCAGAGAAGTTTACTTTGTCCGGTATTGCAAGCAACTGAGTGCTGAAGGATGGGCAGTGGTCGATGTTTCTATTGACAAAGTTGAAGAAAATATTGATGCGTCCTTAGTAAAATGCAGAAAGCGTCCATCAGGTTGCATCATCCAAGATAAATCCAATGGCCATTGCAAGGTGTGTGCATATATATATGGGGCAAAATCCGTTCATACAATCAGTATAAAATTAAGAGTTTTATACCTCGGATCATTGAACGAGAGAAATCAAAGACTGAGATTAACAATAGTAAATGATAAAATATTCACTAAGAAAATAGTTAATCTCAACCTTTAATTTTCCTAAATCCAACGATCCTAAAAAGTTTAAAACTAAAAAATTTTGTAAGTGAATCATAACCTTATATATATATTGTGTGTGGGAAATTTTGACGATTTTCCAAAAAGTTTAGAACTTTATGTCTTGTTAAAACCATATGAACTGATATAATTTCATTTTGATAACAAGCTTAAGAACATTTTTTTTTTAATTTCAGGTGATTTGGGTGGAACACCTTGAGTGCCAGAAAAGTAATGTTCATACATTGTACCGTACCATTTTTAGCAATGGCTTGGTCTTTGGTGCGAGGCATTGGATGGCAACATTGCAACATCAGTGTGAAAGGCTCGTTTTCTTCATGGCAACCAATGTTCCTACTAAGGATTCAACTGGTAAGCTTAAATTTTGTCCATTTTGTTAAACAATATGCATGTTCTTTTTTTTGGTGAGCAAAGAAAATTTTCTGACTAATGCTTGTTATTAAAATTTTAGGTGTTGCGACACTGGCTGGGAGGAAGAGCATTTTGAAATTGGCCCAGAGAATGACATGGAGTTTCTGTCATGCAATTGGAGCATCGAGTTATCATACCTGGAATAAAGTCACCAGCAAAACCGGGGAAGACATTAGAGTTTCTTCCAGGAAAAACTTGAATGACCCTGGCGAACCTCTTGGGGTCATCGTCTGTGCTGTTTCTTCCGTTTGGTTGCCCGTCTCTCCGACTATTTTATTTGATTTCTTGCGAGATGAATCTCGTCGCAATGAGGTACTTTATCAATTAGAATAATAAAAAAACAAGTACTGTTGTGAATACTCATTTAACGATCTTTCCTCTGCAAACTTTAGTGGGACATCGTGTCAACCGGAGGTCCAGTGCAGTCCATCGTAAACTTGGCCAAAGGGAAAGATCGTGGCAATGCAGTAACAATTCAAGTACTTTCTTTAGGCATTGTTTCCCCCCTCTGAATCATATATAGCATTCTAAGTTGCACCATACTTTCTGTTCAGACAATGAAGTCGAAAGAGAACAGCATGTGGTTTCTCCAAGATAGCTGCACAAATGCTTTTGAATCCATGGTGGTCTTTGCTCCTGTGGACATAACTGGTATACAGTCGGTGATCACAGGATGCGACTCCAGCAACATGGCCATACTACCTTCAGGGTTCTCCATTCTTCCTGACGGGCTCGAGTCAAGGCCATTAGTGATCACTTCTAGGCACAAGAAGAGAAATGATACTGGAGGATCCTTGCTTACAATAGCTTTTCAAATCCTAACAAACAGCTCCCCAACTGCTAAATTAACCATGGAATCAGTGGAATCTGTCAACACAAATAATATCTTGCACATTGCGTAATATTAAGACAAACTTGCAATGTGAAGATGGCTGATCAAACTACCCTTCCTGGTTAGGTAGATATTAACTGTAAAAGTCATAGTTTTATTTTTTCTCTTTTCACCCCCACAACTTAGAGGTTTAAGCAGATAACCTATTTTTGTTATGTGGGTTTGTTTCTATTCCTTCTTTGGTTAAGCACAGATGGTTTGGACTTCAGGCATATTTATGGAGGGGCAAGTGGATTGACAGAGTTGGATTTCAAAATCATTTTAGATCTAAGAGAGTGAAATATTCCTGATGTATATAATTACTGTTCATTTATGCAATATTGCGGCTTTCTTTATTGCTTTACCAACTTCTTAGCCCGGAAATGTGTTGAATTATCCACTGGTTTTTACAATGGATTTATGCTAAAATGCATCTCACAGATTGCCAAAGACGCCGCAGTTACAAAGCAATACGCATTACTTAGGACTCAGTGCCAACAAACAAAAACTAAGACCTTTGAAGTTTGAACCATCATGGAGATGCTTACAGTAAGGTTTATTAGGACTACATTTTTTGTATGATCACTTAGAAAGTTTGGCACTTCCAGTTTTCATCACCGATATGAGATAGTATTGTTGGACAAGTCGGGTCGGGTTGGTTTCGGGCAAACAGTAACCCTCAAATATCCCCTCTCCTATTAATAAATTGTCAATCGTGTGATATCTTTGCATTGCTGCTTAAGTTCTCAGACCAAAACAAGAACAGAACAACTCCGTTGCAGCTTAGCTTGATGATCATTGCGATCCAAGTAAACCAATTCTAAGATAATTCATCCTTAAAGCAACACACATTATAGTACTACCATAAATTATGTCATTCACAATTTAATCACTTCCTTCGATAGTCTCTCAATCCAGGTTTTTATCACTAAAAACATCAACTTATTCATTAATTACGAAACGAAACCCAATTCAAATATACCAATCAAGATTAGAACAGAGAACAGGGGTCATGACAAACTCAAAAAGCAAGCCACATCCTTGAAAAACAACAATTGTTACATTAAGAAAAAACAGTTTTTGAAACTGTGAAAACACTTGCAAAAGATTATAAGTTTACCCAACACAAAAGAAGCCCACGCCAAAGGCTTTAATACTAAGCTTGCTGCTCTTGAGGCTGTTGAGATTCCAATGGAATCCCAAGCTCCCCCTTTTCCTCCTTCTCCTGTTTCCCAATCCTACTTGGTACAGGCACCGCAATGAAAGTCTTGGTCTTGCTAATCGGCCTGCTCTTTTCAAGCTGCACATAGTCACCAACTTTGAATTGGTTATCTGGGTCATGAGCCTGGAACTTCTTCTTCATCCTAACACGCCTCTTGTATTTTGGATGAGGGGCTAAACGCACCACTTCCACCGACACTGTCTTGTCGTTTGTAGCACAAATCACCCTACCTTGCAAGGATTTCATTGCCCTGATTGGGGGGAGAAAAGCCGGGGATTTGAGGGGTTGCTGAGAGAGAGTAGAATCGGGTTTTGAGAGGTGAGAGAGGGAAGTTGAGCCATGGAGAAATGGGGATGAAAGCTTGAGAGATTGGAGAGAAGAAGTTATCCACATTATGGAGTGTAGTCTTCGGAGCTGGAGAAGCAGCAGCTGATAAGGACTTGCGAGTTCTTCTATTCTGTGTGTTATGTATCAGACATATGGGTTGGGTTTAGGAGTTGAAAATTTTCATGGACCTACTCATGGCTGTCTTACGGCCACTCCTAAGCCTGGTCCAGTTCTAGGTTGATTCAATCATAAAAAAAGATTTTATTTTATTTTATTTAATGCTTGAATTTTAATCTTTGATTCGATTATTATGCTTGTATAAAAAATATTTTAATATTTTTTTTAAATAAACATATTGATTATCCAAATAAATTTATTAGCTAAAATTATGAATGTTCATCAATGGATACTACTAAGTGCTAGTGGGTGATGAAAATTTGCTAGGGATATTAAAAATGATTATAAGTTTTAATTGAATTAATAATATTATTTAATAACTATAAAATAAAATAAATAATCTGATAACAGAAATATAGAAATATTCAAATTGAATATTATGGAAATAGTATAATTTTTCTAAAATAGAATGATATGACAGGGCTTATTAATTGGATTTTTGAGGCGATGAACATGGCCCATCAGTTTTTTGAAGATCATAAAACGGATAGGCTTATCTAAGTTCGGCCCACGTGTCACGATCTAAATGGAAATTCATATCTCTATAGGAAAAGTCGAATTTACCACGTGTCCATTTGAGATCAACTGCAAAGATCAAAAACCCGAACAGCCACTGCCAACTGAAAGAGAAAGCAGTTAGGATAGGAAGAAGCAAAAATAAAGGCAATGGCTTCTCTTGCAACCTTAGCTGCAGTTCAACCAACGACCGTCAAGGGCCTTGGTGGAAGCTCTCTCAATGGAATCAACCTCTTGGTCAAGCCAGCTCGCCAGAGTTTCAAGCCCAAAAACTACAGGTGCTACCAACCTTAATTTCTTACTTGCAAATCAATACTGTTTAATTTCAACATATTTATACAGATTAAAAAAAAACGTCTTTATTTTTCTTATGTAATAGGGCCAGTTCTGTGGTTGCAAAGTATGGTGATAAGAGTGTGTACTTTGATTTGGAGGATATTGGCAACACAACTGGGCAATGGGACTTGTACGGGTCTGATGCACCTTCACCATACAACCCACTCCAGGTTTCACCTTTGGCCCTCATTTTGTATTTGAGAAAGATTTGCAGAGTACTTATACACAGGCTATTCTCTAAAATTTGGTTTCTTTCTTGCTATTAGTTTGTTGATATGTTAATTTCCTCTTTTTTTTCTGAGAGAAACATGGAAACACTGAAGGCAATGGTTAGGACAGTTAGGTTTGCAACTGAATTATGATGTTGAATGAAATCTGATGTCGCCAGGTAGCTTTTAGATCGAATCAACTAACAGTTTGCACGAATGTTTGGAATTGCAGAGCAAGTTCTTTGAGACATTTGCAGCTCCATTTACCAAGAGAGGACTGTTGCTCAAGTTCCTCATCCTGGGAGGCGGTACCCTCGGTCTTTACCTCAGCGCCACTGCTTCCGATGACCTGCTACCGATCAAGAAAGGTCCACAACTTCCACCAAAGCCCGGGCCCCGTGGCAAGATCTAATTCACTGCAACTTTTTTAAGCTTTTCATTGTATGTACCTTGTTTCAGTTTTCAAACATGTAATCCTAAAATGCAACCTTCATTATCGATCCAATGACATTTGTTTCACGCTTAACTGGTGCATTGCTTTCCGTCTTGAAATCTCTGCTCTTTGACATTGATCCTTTCCCTTTCTGATTACAAATAAGAACTGCTAATGAATAACTAATAGTCTAACAGTATGTCCATTGCCATTGCAATTAACAAATGCGGAAATGCCTAATTCTCTGGACAATTTGTTTATTTTGTAAGCTGATTTCTTGTAATAGATCAGAAAGCAGATCTACTGAGTGAGTGGTACACTGTTTAATAATCTGGGAAATGTTGCCAAAATTTACAATGTCACAAGAAAATAGAATAAATAACCATTAAGAAACATGAATTCTTTCAATGGATATTAAACAAGAAACCCTTTTGCTGGTTTCTAAAGGTATTAATATATGGAATGACTTTAAAGTACATAGTTTTAGTTTACTTCCCTATTTACAAAAGGAAGTCATAGAAATACAAAATGAAACTTACGGCCTACTTTAATCCCATCTAGGTCGAAACACCTTTGTGATTGGTCAGGCTTTCTCACACTTAATATTCCTATATCTATAACACTCTATCTCTCTATATCTCTATCTGCTTCTGATTTCCATTGCATACTCCGTTAATGGCGTGCTGTAGGGCTTCGTACTCCACCCAAGCTCTCAACATAGGAGACCTTGTTTGTCACTACGTTTAGTTTTTGCCCGTTTCCATTATCTTTATATATTCTGCTGCCTTTCATCAGAGTCGTTTTGATCTAAACTCCAAGTAAGTAAATCTGAGAGGATCTTTGCGCTCATTGCAGATGTATCGAAACTTGGACTTGTAGTCACTGAACTAGGCTGGCTTTCATCCTTTAAACTGCTCCGTTTGCATGGTTGTGTATTTGGATTTTGGGTCATGTTATCGGCATGGAGGACATCTTCGATTCTAGACAAGACTGTAAAGGCCAAGCTCTCCAGTATTCTTGAATAACTTGAGTTACCACCAATGTCACAGGATACTAAGAAAAAGCAATAGTACATGACAATGATTGCAGCACTCAAATGAAGAGGGTCATTCCGACATGTCATAAAGTTTCTATCTATCTGCAGTTCTGCACAAATGACTTACCCGGTTGTATTGGATCTTGCTGATGTCTAGTGAGGATTGAGGCAACCCCGGGAACCGATGTTTGATGATGAGCAAGATGGTCTCAGCTCTCTCCTCGAATTGTTCTCTCTTCTCAAAGCTAACAGCAGAACCCCAAGCTGATTTTCCATCCTTTTGGGTCATCTTCCTCTTCCATATGACTATAGATGCCTCAAGTCTATTCTTGAGGTCTATAATCTTGTGCTCGGATGATAAGTCCATAGAGGAGAAAAATTGATCAGGATCAAAGAATTCAACCGTGATGCTCCTATAAACCGCATCACCGAGACTAACTCTCCCATTCTAAGAAAACATCAATAAAGTGTGACGGTGAAGGGATTATGGTAGCATATTTTGATGCAACTATGTATTATACTAGAAGAGCGCAAGGCTTTTAACCTTGTGGTCGTGGGATCGAGTCCCACGGTGGGCAATTCATAATTCTGACTGCCGGAGGTCTTCCACGGAAGCTGCTCTCAACATGGCATTGGAGGCAGCCTACTACCTTACCTCCCCTCACCCCGGCGTTGGAGGCAGCCTACTACCTTACCTCCCCTCACCCCATTACATATGGGAATAGGGTCAGCTAATTATGTATTATACTAGAAAAAATTTCAAGCTTTACCTTTGGGAGGGCTTCAATGTAGTTTTCAGGGACCTCAATTTCTGAGAGAACTTGAGCATTTATTGACATTGCTGCTTTAAGCACTTGAGTCACAGATTCCTTTTGGCTCTGCAGATTTTTTCTGCACTTATCTGATAGTCCATCTTGGGGAACTTTAACAGTAGGCAGCCACCATTTATCATCTTTTCTCTTGTTTTTACCCTAGTCTGGAGCATCTTTTGACAAATAATAGAATTCATTTTGATCCTTGAAGTTATCTAGACTTTCCTGACCATTGCAAGTTATCATTAAATCAGGAACTAGCCTGTTGCTTAATTATAGTAACAGAGAAATTATAGCTCAAATTAGCTGAAAAAACATATATAAACGTATCCATATCCTTACAATCAGCATCGTGTCAAGTTTTCGCAGGGCTGGAATGTTCATATGGAGATCTATTCGTTGCTTTGTGACCATTATCTGCAAAAATAAGAAGCGAAAAGAAATTGCATGCATATTGAATATGTATACAGATATATCGCCTTGTAATTGCTCCGATGCAGGTAAAGGAAGAGAGCGAGAGATCAGAAACCTCCATGTTTGTTCCATCCTTGCTCTTCTGTTGGGATGGAACAAGTTCAACAACGTGATCAGCTACAGACAATAGCCAATCTATTTCCTTTCTCCACCTTGCTTTCCTGTCAGGTTTCATCGGCTCTAAGCGCGATTGTTCGCCAAACACGGAAGCTGAAAGCCATTTGGAACCGAAAATCGGATAAATTAATTCTCCATTAAGTCATCATATAGGAGAGAGTGGAAGAAGAAATACCAGCAAGGTTCGTAAAGGCGTTTGACAGTGCTAAAGCTGATGAAACTCCCTTTCCTCCACCAGACATCCTCACCCAAGAGTAATTTTGCAAACTTTTCCTTCATCTGCTCCATATCTGCATTAAAAATCAATGCAGAAGGAACTTAGAGATACATATGTCACCCAGTGGCCACTTGTACCGTAAACACACATTATATATATGAAACTTACCAGTTAATAACTGTTTTTCTCTGATTTGGAATGCAGCAATTACTTCTTCCATTGTAAGATTCATCTTGGGACACTCTTCGCTTGAAGGTTTAGATCCCTCATTGGAGCCCATCTCGTCAACTTTACACGCACTGTCAATGCTTAAACTCTTGGCATGTGTTGCTTTGTTCTCATTTGCAGACCTTAAACTAATCAAATGAGACCAAAGATTGTCTTGTTCTTTAACCATGTTCAATGGTTTTCTGTTCTGAGTTTCAACAAGAACTTGAGGCCAAAAAAAAAAAAGGAAAGGCACAGAACAAGTAGCGAAAGTGGGAAAAAACAAGAAAAGAACTAAGAGTCCCCTCTTCGAAACGATTTTAGGGACAGAGTAGGTTTGTTGGAGAATTTACAAGTGCGGGATGTGATTGTTTCGTTGATTTTTTCCATTTATGAACAACGGATTGAACGTGGGGCGTATGTGTTTGAGACCCAGTGGGGTGTTGGGTTAAAGGGAGAGAACAGATTTAGATTATTCTATATATGTTGAAGGTTCAAGTTTCGTTTGATTTATGTAAGGTGAGTGAATTGGATGGTTCATTTTCAATTTCAAAGTCAAAAGCCTGCAAAAAACGAGGAAGGATACAACAGAACGCAAGCGTTCACGTATGCATATTACTCTAATATTAGAACAAACCCCACCGAGGCCACATGGATGGTTTTGATGGGCTGAAACTTAATGGGACGGTTGAAGAAGGAATAATTCCCTAAATTAACAAATATTAATCTAATATCCTACATTTTACTTTTGTTTGTATGTTAATCCGTTGATGTGTACTTACAATAAATAATTAGTAAATTAATTACTCAAATTTGGATCCACGTCACAAACACTCGTATTTATATTGATTAAGGATGTAATTGGGGCGTTTTTACCTAAAAAAAAATCATCCTAACAATAATTAATTAACTGGCATATACCGTTTCGTCCGAGCTGACGCTACATCATGAAAGGCGTGGATGGTCATCCGCGTCTTACCCGAGCTGGTGCTACACAAGGAAAGGCGTGATTCGTCATTTGTTCCTTTCTAGGGTATCTGACACGCGCCTGTAAGGCGCGGATAACCATATTTTATTATTGGTTTCGAATTTCTCGACCTTTAAACTCTCTCTTCGCCTATAAATAACACTCTTTCAACAGTAAACATCACCACATCAATTCCTCATATATTTACTTCAAAGTTCCTTCGATCTTTTGTTGTAAGGTAATTTTTTAATTAATTATATTTATTTTATATATGATTATTTGAAAAACATTTATTGTACTAATTATTTTCTATTATTTTACGGTTATAAAATTAGAAAGTTGGATCATACGTTGAGACATTTTTACCGATACGATAACAATATACAATTATATTATTTAAATTATTGTGAAAATTTTTAAATTTTTTATTAGGTTATATTTTAATTCATATACTATATATTTAATTATGTGTATTTAAGCAATTGTTTTTTCATATATAAGACTCTCAATTTTTCAAACTCTTAGAATGACGCATATTTCAACTATTGTTTACTATGATGGAGAAATTCGGGAAGATGGAACCGGTGTCGCGATCACATCAGATCATTCTGTAAAAATATTCTTCAAGAGAAACATAACTCTTGAGGATATGATAACGTAGATTTCAAGGAATGTTCATGTTGGAAGTACTAGAAGATTGTCCTCGCTTAAGTACAGATTTCCAACATTAGTGTTTTCATTAACTTATACAGCGTTTGAACTATCAAACGATGACGATGTTGCAATGATGGTTGATTCTCAAAATCATTATTCAGACGCCGATACATAGATGTATGCGAAATTTGTTGAAGTGCGTGTTGTTCATGCTATGTCATTATGTTCCCACTATGGGCTAGCTCAACAAGCTGATCAAGTTGAGAGCCCAACTACAGTAATGTGTAATGATTTTAACGCCAAAATGGGAAATCTGTATCATGGTGCCATCCCATCAAGTTCAATGGGGAGATATTCATCAGCAACTTCTTACGATCTGTATTGAGGCGACTCCACAAACAATCCATATGGCAACATCACATCTAGTTCAAGGGGAAGTCATTCATATGCCAATTTCTTTGACCTGAATATGGAGATGCCCTCGACGTAGTAATCTGTGCAGTACTCATTTAATACAATGCCTTCAAGCTCTAGGGGAAGGCATTCAACTGCGAGCTTTTTCGACCTCAATGTCGAGATGCCTTCAAGTTCAAGGGGAAGGTATGCAA